GAAACATTCTTGTTGCTGATAGTTGTAGTTCTCGAATAACGTTCTATTTTAAGTCAGTCTAAGGATCAAAGGCTCAGAATAACCGGGCAGAAATATTACCGAGATCTTCACAATGCTTGCTATCATGGCAAAACAATAGAGGTAGACTCAAGGTAGATGTACTAGGTAATCGCATCAGCCCAGCTGACGGCACCATTAAATGTCAAAACAAATTGTTGTAATGAAGAATTCGCCCTAAATGAATGCAACAACAAATCTGTTTATAGGTGTGTCTGGTTACCCTAAAATTTGTAACAATTGTTACAAATTGTTACTGGAAGTCGTCTGTTAACTCGAAAGTTCTGCAAAAGAGAGAAATTTTGACAGTTCTTTCAGTGAGAGTTTCAAATTCTTGCTGGACAAATTTCTTCTTGCAATCACTTGTAACTCTTCTTCTTCTCATTTATCGACATTCAATCAGATGTTTTCTATTGTTTGTTTATTTATTTTTGTGCTTTTAATTTGAAAATATTTTTTTGGAATTTTAAAGACTAATTGTTTTTGGAGAACAACTTTAAAAAATGTGGAAAACGTAAATATTAATATGTAATAAGGAAATAAAAGACTATTTCCAACATTTTTATTTAAAAAACTTGTAGAATTAGTATTGCTTCCTTTGTTTTAATTCTCCTTATGGGGGACAAATTGGTTTGTTTTGAAAATTCAGCTGATTAGTTGCAAGCTTCTGCAGGAATACCGTCTGTTTACTTTTCGCATTTTCCTTGCAAAAGAGAATAAAACTACCTTTTCTCTCAGAAAGAAAATTCCTGCTGGAAAAGTAACCAGACACACCTTATGTTGTCTTCCCTAAAAGTGCATTTTTATAATATATCAAATAATAGCAAGTTAAGAGTGAAACCAGTAAAAAAAAATTAAAAGAAAATGAAGGAAGGAGGTTAGAATGGAGTGCAGCTTTAAGAATTAAGTTAGCCTCAACATCTAAGATTCCCAAAGCACATCACGGGAAGTAGTGCAAGAATTCGACTCTTGTCATTTGCAGTTCCGGAAAACTTTCGGTTTAAACCAGTAAAATATAGTCATTATAAGTTTCTTGGTTTAAAAATATTGCAATACTACAATTAATACTTATTTTACTCTCATTTGTTTTACAATAAAAACTTTTATTGCGACGTTCGTTTACGACGAGAGGCACACAAAATAAAATGTAAACAAACACCTCGTTTCTGATTGGTTGAAACAAATTTGCCGCAACCTTTAAATGTCATGGCGAATCTATGTTTTTCGCCTTAGATGCATATTTTGACATTTGAGGGGACCACAAAAGTTACTTTGTTGTAGCAATTCGCCGATGCGGTTACCTGTTAGATCTACCTTGGGTAGACTCATGGTACAATAAGAAGGTAGAACAGTTTCGTAAAACTACAGAAATACAGCCCTGAGGCTATGCCCGCTTTCTGTCAGACTCATTCAAAATTGTTGTTGTTTTAATTTTTTCATTTTTTCCTAATTTTTAAATTGAGTTAAATATCACAAAAAAATGCCTGAATTTTCTCCCAAAAACATGATCCAATCTGTTCAATTTCATGGCTAAACGGGTTAATAGCTTTAATGCGCGAGCTACAATGTACGTGTCTTCCAATCATTGGTTTTGAAAATATTTTGTTTTGATTTTTCAAAACAATAAATACATCCACAAAATTGGCAGAAGTCGGGCACAATTAGAAGAAAATTGTAATCAGCTGTTAGATGTACCTTACCTTTTTATTATACCATGGGTAGACTTATTTGCTTAATCGAATATGGCAACCTTTTCCTGAAGTACTTTATCTTGTCATTTTTCAAATACAATTTAATTTTATATCTGAAGGATTTACGTATGACGAGTGGCATATTTTATAAAAATATCTTAGAAAAAGGAATATTATTTATATTATCTTAAGTTTAAACATATAAAAATAGAGGTTTTAAACACTTCGTCCTAAGGAAACATTCTCGGTGCTGATAGTTGTAAAAAACACTGTATACTAAAATTTCATAGGTATTTCTTAAAAATCGTAAATGGCTCTTATTAGCTTTAGAGGAATCGCCATAACATATTATTTTCTTTAAAATTTTAGTTTATTGGATACGCTTCTATTCTCAATCGGAAGATGGATTTAAATGATTATCGGTTCAGTTCGTCAAATTTAGTAGAAATCGAACAAGAGTAGGATGCACTCCCATATTAAAGTTATTTTGGGCTTTAAATTACATCTGCTTTAAAGTCATAAAAGGCATTCAAAATCGATAATATATTATGGGTAGCTCTACTAAATATGCAAATTGGTGCAGGTTACCATAAAGTCGGCCGGCCTTGTATTATTGTACGGTACATTATCGTTGTGTACCACTCCACCCCGGTCCGTTACAGAACCATAATGTTTATTTTTGGAAGCTGATTCCAATTCCTTAATACATATGACTTATAACAATAATGTGCATTCTATGTGAATGATGAAGGGGTCACCCGATTCGGATCACAATTTAAATCTCGTGATATTGCTATCAAATCACTAAAAATGCTAAAGATAAATGTTGAAAATGTCACTTTAAATATGTCTTTAATATGTGTTCCTTTTTTTCAAAAGATAGACAAGAAATTACTGTCGAATAATTTTCCAAAATTTTATATTTGAAAACGGGTAAACACAACCAAATACTCGCATCCGAAAATGTATGCAAGAGATATTGACATGTTTGGTCAATTATGTACCAAAAGCTGATTCGAAGTCTTAGAACGAAAACGAAAGCTTTATTTTACAGTTTGGAAACTGTTACGAGTTTTTAAGAATTCGAGAATTGATTATGTGTTTCTGAATACCTTACAATCTCAGATTTACGCTAAGAAATATTACAATTTCAATTCAGATTGTATATTGTGAGATTCGTCATACTACAAAAACTGGCATCAGTTGTTCTCAAACGTCGACAACTACTAATTTTTATTTACTCTTCATTTGACAATGAATAAACAAATATGAAAGTTGAAAAAAATGGTCTGTTCCAGAGCCTGGAAGAATCTAATAGTTTTGCAATTTTTTCTCGGCACCATAAAGGAAGAATCTGTTATGGTAGTAAAAAGTTTTACATTCTCGTAATTCTGGAAAACAGTAATTTTTCTACCATGAGGAGTTGCATCTTTAAAATATTTCTGCAAATATTTTATAAAAAATTAAGCAATTTCTGAAATTCGCCAGATTACAAAATATCATGAATTATTTAATTTGTATTCCTATTTTAGGAACGCATTTCTTTATTATAGATTTGTTAATACTGAATAAGAATTTTTATAAAAGCCAAAACATATTTTGTTTACATACAGACATATCTATACAGAGGAGAGGAAAATAATTCGGGCAACAAAAGAAACAAGAACTAAATAAAATAAAATGAAAATGATATAAATATCAAGAATATACATATATGAAACATCTGAAACAAATAGACAGGCGTACAGACCGACATACATATGTGTTTTGGTTGCTAAAAGTATGTGGACTCTCTCTCTGCCGATGTGCCAGTGTGAGATCACACATACACATAGACTGCCACACTGACACATTCGCATGTGTTATGTACAGGGGCATACTTACATATTTAATATGAAAACAATGAGTAGAACAAAAATAAATCTGGAGAATAAATGCTGTCCCCCACCCACCGTCTCTGTGCACCCACAGCGATGACCCTAATGCAGGAACTTTTTGCGGTGACGTTCCATCTTGTGGGTGGAAATGGAAATTTTTGTAAGAGAAGGAATGGAAATGAGGGGTGGTGAAGCTGGATGTAGGTCTAGTTCAAAGGCTAAGAAAGGTCCATTGGTTTCTATACTTCTTTCTCATATCTCGCTGACAAACCAATGCAAAGTTCTGTGTTTGTAAGTCTGAAAGGAAGTCAATAAATGCATGCAAATTTCCGTTGGCCCAGTGCCCATTGATAAATATTTGTTTGGCATGTTTGTTGTTGCCGAAAACGTTGTTGTAATTATGTATATATGTATATATGCGTGCCAACGATCACAAAGTGAAGGTGGTTGTAGAAAGTATGAGGCAACAATGGGACACCGAATTCGTGGCAATGATCGCCAACGTCATTACGCCAAGTGGGTAGAATTTTGTTGAAGCAAGTCCATATAAATATGTATATTCCAAAGTAGAGAGGATGGAATGAAATGGAATGGGGAATGTGTTGGTGAACATAGCGAGCATTCGATGGACAAATTGAGTTAATCGTGTTAAACGATACTTGGCCATATTTGAAACGGACAACAACAAATTGGAATAACATTAACATTAAAAATTGTTGTCGTCACATGAACAGCACTGGGAAGAAAACGACTCAGCAAACGAATCTCTCTCTTGTTCATCCACCCACGATCGATATTCATCACCTACAATGAAAATATTCAAAACAGTTCAGGTATAGATCATGATTATATATATAAATATGCATAAATACACCAACAAATGTATACGCACACACCCACAAAAGTCTGTCTGTGTAGATGTGTGTGTGTGTGAAAGTTTCTATTTCAAAAATATGCTATGAGCTTTAATAACGAAATGAGATGTTTATGATAGAATCTTCTAACTTGCGCACACACACACACACCAAACATATATATCACACGATCAGTTCAAAACGCAAGCCAAATGAATGTTCTCCCCCTCCCTTCATCCCCCCTACAACCTGTGTAGGTGCCATTCTTTTGCTCGATATCTCTTTTCACCTTGCATTCTTTCTCCTTGTCTGGCACGAAAGGAAAGCATAGAGGAGCATTCAAAGCATAACGTCAGACAACGACTCTCCCTAGGATGTCTGTCGGAGATAGAACACAAGTACAAGTACTCTCGGCTAACCTCGTATATACACAAGAAAAAGCGATGCAAGAGCATGCAGCCTCCATTTGTTTGCTTCGTTGGAAAATTCTCTGCTGTCGGTGTAGTGGTGATGAAAAACTGAACATTCTATTTTCCGAAAAAAATCTTTAACATAGCGTGTTGTTTCTTGGTAGATCGTCAGTCTGTTTAGTCGAACCGCAGCATTCGCTCCAACGACGTCAGCTGCTCGGACAACAGTAGAGAGTTTAATTTGTTTCTTTTCCCGAAGTAAGTTCTGACCAAAAAAAAAAAAAAAACATCAAAATTAAAAAGTAAAATTAATAAAGAAAAATATGGAAAAAGACTTTATTAAAAATTTATGAAAGTGATAATCCTTAAATTAAAATTCTAACTACAAATCGGATGGAACCCAACTGGGCGAGGAGCTATTTAAACACAACTTTCTGTGTCAATGTAAAACGAAAGGAGTTATATAATATTGGAACACATCAACTTATCAATAAAATTAATAAACTAAAGTGAATATAAATGTAATTTAGAAAAACTATTTCGAAATGCAATCCGTAATTGAGTGAAATATTTGAAAATTGAATTCGAGTGTTAAATATATTCGCCATCCTGTACTATTTTCAACGAATCGTTTCGAATCGTTTTTCTACGCGTTCTAAAAATAGGACATTCTATTAGAACTGGCAACCTCAAAGTGTTACATGATATATTTGTTACCGACTGCTCTCGGCTGGCAGCGCATATTTGCTTCCTATCGCACCAGCAGCAGCCGAGACAAGAACGAAAACAGAAAACAAATGAAACGAAATAAAATAAAATAAAGAAATTTCCAATTGTCCCGGTGGCCCACGAAAATTAAGAATAGAGTCTGCTGCCTGGGACGGACAATGAGAAAAGTAGACTTGAAAAAATAATAAAAGCTGTGTGCATGTGTAAAAGTGTAATAAGCCGAAGTACTGATGCATGGATAGCTCATAAGCAGATCAACTTTTTGGAATAAGCCAAGCTATGTCTGGAAATATGAAGTATTATATAAATAGCTTTAACACGAATACACACTATACACTCATTTGAAAAAGATACACACTTACACATGCACACAAAGCCATAGACACAGCCCCTAATTTTTTTTAATAATTTAATTAGTAGATATAGATATATAAAATATAATTCAATTATCAATGGGAAATATTTGGTCACCGCCCACATATTGCTTCATCTCCGAATCCATTTATAATACCTGCAAAGAAGAACTATTTTACGAATACAACACGCACACGAAAGGTAGTGAAATAATATTTTTGCTATTTTTTGTGCCAAGGTAAAAAGTCTCTTCTGTTGCTCCTTAGCTTGCTCGATCGAAAGAGACTAAAGAGCTCTCATGGAAATTCAATACGATCTATTTTTAAATTTATATATATATATTGAGCCAGTACACTGTACGATGAAATAGTATGGTCACTTTCTCTCACTCATTCTCTCTCACACACACAGGCACTCTCTCTAACACGTATATTCCACATATGTATACATAGCAAATATTAGTGCCTAGATGCAGATCATCTATTGTATATATACTAAAGAGCGATACAAGAAAATATGCGGGCGAGCATACATACACACACAAGCATATTTTCATTTTTCAGAAAATTATGACATACACAAATACATTTGTATGTTTGATACTCCTTGAGATATATTCTATATTCATAAAGTAATACACGAACACACACACACACATGCATGGGTGTGTATGTACATGTATATATTCGCTATTGGACACGTGAATATATGAGTATATTTGTGTGTGTGTGAGTGTACTTGTGTATGCCCAGCATGTTATGTGCTGCTGTCTATAAAGCAGGATCTAATTTTAGAATCTGTCTGATGCGTAATCTCACTAAAAATTGTTTACGTTTAGTATTTGGTAAAATAAATGATGTGTATTAGCTTTGATTATGAATTCGATTGGCATTAAATAGACGAATTGAAAGTAATCGTAGGTGTTATTTCTGCCTTTGGAGTTGAAAACGCTTAGAGAAATCTAAGATATTCTTCAATTGATTTGTGCTGCATTGTTTACAAACGTACCGAACATTATTTTTTAGTCTCAAAGGTTAGAGGTCAAACCTGTTAACAACCTAAATAATTTGCACAACGATTTTAGAGCCACTATCGAATTTTGCTTTGAAAACAGAACGGAATTTTGGAATCTGCATACACATCTACGAATTATTATTGATAGTAATAGGACATTCCGGTTTTGAATTTGATTTCATTTTTTTCTGAAATATGAATAGTGCATGTTTGACATATTTAGATGTTTTTTTCGAATAACAACACTTTTGTAACACATTTCTTTTATTTGTTTTCTTTCAGGTTTTTTTAATCCCTAACCATAACCATGTCCGACGATGAGGAGTACACGTAAGTATTAACTGCAAAGCGACTAAATCCACATTAGAAAACAAACAAAGACATTCCAGAACGACACAACGAAGTATTGCCCCAAAAAGTTGCAGAGTTTCGCGGGGCATTACATCGTTAAATTCGGTTCGAGCAATTTTTTAAATAAAAAAAAAAACAAAAACATTACAAATTACTTGATTCATCACTACAGACATTGTCTGTCTGTCTGTAAAAATAAATAACAACTAAAAAAATACCACAATTCAAACATTTGAACAAATAAATACATACACACATACCGCCTCCAATACAATTACATCAAATGGAAATGTCCTTGTATCCTTCGTGTATGTATATTAAGAATGTAAAAATAAACATTTCATGTAGATATTAGCATTCGAATTTGTATATGTAATTTGTATATATTGAATATATATTGCTATAAGCGTCTCCTGGAAATTGGGGAATAAATTGTCTTTGTATAGAGTTTTTATTGTGTTCCTCGTCTGGTTTCGTTATTTAAAGTCATTCTGTTTTCTCTTTCATACGTTTTCCCCTCCATACCATTACACCTGTCTGTTACCCGATCTCTATCCTGAACTATACACATACTATATACAAACAACACATATTGACGAATACCACCTGTGTCTGAATCTGTATCTGTATCCAAATGCCCGCCCATACCATGGTTTGTTCGTTATCGGTTCCCACATGTGTTAATGTTTTGTGTGAAAATGTTTCCCGTATTGAAAACATTTCTTTACCTAAAGCAGTTCCGAAGAGGAGGAGGAGGTTGTCGAGGAGGTCAAAGAGTAAGTACACTGCCATATCTGAAAATTAAATTGCATTAACATTCCTCACTCCAAATATATAATAATCTACTGTGTAAAAAGAGAAAACATCTAAATTCCTCAAAGAAAAAGTGCTAGTCTCTATCTCTATCTTTTCGAATTTGTTTGTAATTGGCCAACAACAGAAGAAATTAAATTGGATTACTATTCTCCCCTACCCCAACTCTTTACTTTATTGGTGTTCTATTAAAAAGAAAACAAAAAAAAAAAAAACATTTCAAATAACTTTCATCCTGGCTTGAACTAAACGTTGTCGTCTACCTTGCCAAAACATGAAAACAAATTTTATTTTACCTTCATTTCTTTATTTAATTTCAGGAAGTAAGTTATTGAAATTCTGAATTCAAAGCCTTTTCGTTACTTTGGCCGTTAATGAAAAAAAAAAACAAATTATAAAAATCAAAATGACTTCATCTCATCTTTCTTTGAAGATCTAAGCAAAAATTTCATAAAATTTTCCAAAAAAAAAAACTATCTATCTTTCGTTCAAATCATTTGTATAAATCTCATTCAAGGTTTCTCTCCTTTTTCAATTGCTTTGTGCACAATGATTTTTTGCTTAGATTCGTTCATGTTCTTTTATTTCTATTTTTGAAGATGGACCTTATTTTTAATGTTTGATTTCCTTCTTTTCTTTTTTCTTTCCTATTTCAATGACCAAAAAAAAAAAAAACAAACACTTTTTGTTGTAAATGTTGTTTTTGTTTCCTGTTTTGTTTGAAACGAAACGTATTCAATTGTAACGAATCGAACATTTTGTCGATACTTTTATTTTTTGTGCTCGCAATCATCATCACGACCGGCGGCCACATCCACACATATGCTAAACTATAAAACAAAATAAATATTTTTTGTTCGTTGCTATCTATACAAAACAAACAAACAACCAAACAAACAACACTCTAAACAAATCAAATATCATCATTACCAAATAAAATTATTAAATATTCGATTGCGTGTACAGAAAACCACCTCAGACACCAGCCGAGTAAGTGATTTGTTTTAAGCATTGTTGTAAAAGTGAACAGTAATCACACAAATGTCATAGTTGTTTTTGTTGTTGTTGTTGCTATTGTACATATCGTAACTATGTTGCCTGTTAACTAATTGCGGGCCTAGAGTAAATAACCTCAAGCTCTAGCAAATTCTCGAAATTTTTACTATTTCCCCATCCAAGCCATATATGTTCCATATTTAAGATTCCTCATTCCAAAGCTCAACAACACAAACACGCAACCATTTTCCAAACCCCAAAAGAAACGATTACAGTAAACTGTAATTTTAGGTTTTATTTTTCCATACACCCCATGACAAAATTTTGTTGGCGTGTTTGTGTCGACATCCCTTGAAAACAATCCTCACTTATTCTCCTTTAAACTATCAAAATTGCAAAAAAAAAAACAACATTTTTACTGTTCGAGCCCTTTTTTGTAGTTATCACCCACTTGTCAACCCATAACAAAACTGAATGTTCAATTTTTGGCCACAAACACTCTCATACATTGAAACAAACACAGAACACCACGACCACCAAACACTTTGCTTTTTGTGCGTGAACATTACAATAAAAACAATAGTAATAAGTAATAATAGAAACAATGAAAGCAGTAATAACAATAATAATCGTCATAACATTACGATAACAAGTAAATAAAAACGTGTCATATGATTTATACATTGTATTCTAACATCAAAACCACCCACCAAGCTACCAAGCCACCAGCGCCATACTCCAGATACTCGGTCTCAAGTACGGTTTCATTTGTTTGACGTATACGTAATATTCCCCCCTCAACAATAATAAAATCACTGATACGCACTGGGTCACGTTGAGAGCAAGCCATCATTTATTCCAAAACACACATTCACACGGACATTCTGCAGGCACTTTCGGTTCGGTTAGAGTTTTATTTTCTCCCACTCTCAAGTTCCCTCTCTCTATCTCTCGCGCGCTTCCTAAGAACAGTGCCATTACCATGTTGGACGGACATTAACATGTTTCGGCAGGGACGAAACACCTTGTTGTTGCTGTTTTAGTTGGTGTAAGTGCGTATGTGCACATGTGAAATTGAGCGTCACAAAGAGATGGCGACAATATCAACAGGCTGCCAACATCTGTTTACGCTTCGACACATATTGAATTTCAATACTATTTATGATTTCAATATCGAAATCAATGGCTTGAGATTAATTGAGTACTGGAGGTGTCAACAGAAGCACTCTCTCGCTCATCGTCTGATTGAGTGTTGGCACTTCGCGTGCCACTTGTTCGGCTAATGACGTGGCAAAGAAGTGCTGTTTCAAATTAGTTCTCAACGTGTGAGAGCTGCCTTGATTAGTGGTGTTTGAAATTCCATTACCCACACCCCATCCACTTTCTACCCACCCCCTTCACCAATACATATGTTATTGATTTGCTTTTTGTTACAAAAAAAAAAAATGAAGGAATATTTTGTTATTTTTGCCTTCAGCAAATAAATATAGATAGAATATTTTACTAAGTGTTTTGTGTGTACGTGTGTGTGTGCGTGTGTTGTATATGTTGTAAATATGTAACTATGCGTTGTATCACGTAGCCAAAATGTGTTCTGCCAAGCATATGTAGAGTAGTGCTACTCATGTATGTATGTTTGTGGTTTTTGGAATTGCATCGTTTCGATATATATTTTTTTGTATCCAATGCCCAAAATTTACCTCAGAATCGAATTGTTCCATACTCATATATACATACATACTAGTACACGCATACATACATGCATATGTATACTACTTACATAATATATACCAATAGAAACTTTTTTGTGAACAGCTTTGCTCGGTTTTTGATTTTTGCAAAGACACATAACTAACATTTCGTTTTCTCTGCCTATCTTTCGCGCTACAGAGGTGAGGGTGATCCAGAGTTCATCAAACGCCAGGACCAAAAGCGTTCCGACCTCGATGAACAATTGAAGGAATACATCACCGAATGGCGCAAACAGAGAGCCAAGGAAGAAGATGAGTTGAAGAAACTCAAGGAGAAGCAAGCCAAGCGCAAGATCTCTCGCGCCGAAGAAGAGCAAAAGATGGCTCAACGCAAGAAGGAAGAAGAGGAACGCCGCGTTCGCGAAGTTGAAGAAAAGAAACAACGCGAAATCGAAGAGAAGCGTCAACGCCTCGAAGAAGCCGAGAAGAAGCGCCAAGCCATGCTCCAAGCCATGAAGGACAAGGACAAGAAGGGCCCCAACTTCACCATCGCCAAGAAGGACACAGGCGTGGTAATTATTTCAATCTACTGCATTGCTGTATACTTATGTGGCTTTCTTTTCTCTCTTTTAATATTTTTTCTTCCTCAACTTTGCCACTTCCTATCGGTCCCAACAAATCAAATATTCTGTAAAATATTCAAATTACTGTTCACCCATCTACCTACTACCTACTACCAACCTACCTACCGCCTACTACTACGCCTATGCCTACAATAATTTGTTTTCTACACCAACAACTACAACAACAATTCTAAACACTTGTTACTCTTTATTTTTTCTCTTTCGCCACCTTTAAATCACACATACAAATCGATATGTGACACACACATATGTTTCTTGTATCTGTCGTTTGTTTGTCCGTCTGTCGGTCTTTCTGTCTGTCTGTCTCTTTGTGTAAATGTCCTCTTGTTTGTGTGCGTGTCTGTCTCTGTATGTTTGTGTGTGTGTGTATGATTGTGTGATCTGTATGAACGTGATGGCACAATATAGTTGGGTCTCTCCTCCGCTGCCATGGAGCGTAACAAGACTAAGGAACAACTCGAGGAAGAGAAGAAGATCTCCCTGTCGTTCCGTATCAAGCCTCTTGCCATCGAAGGCTTGAGCGAGGATAAATTGCGCGAGAAGGCCCAAGAATTGTGGGAACTCATCGTCAAATTGGAAACTGAGAAGTATGACTTGGAAGAAAGGCAGAAACGTCAGGATTACGATGTAAGTATACCGTTGAGTTTTACCCCATGCCAAACAGTGTCATGACTCCGATTTCTCTCACCCGTTCTCCCTCTAGTTGAAAGAATTGAAGGAAAGACAGAAACAACAGCTCAGGCACAAAGCCTTGAAGAAGGGTCTCGACCCCGAAGCTTTGACTGGCAAATACCCGCCCAAGATTCAAGTTGCCTCCAAATACGAAAGACGTGTAGATACCCGCTCTTACGACGACAAGAAGAAGCTCTTCGAAGGTGTAAGTATTCATCCAATTCATTTTCTATTTTTGATTACCATAACTCTGTGATTCAATGCAATGGGTTCTTAAAATGTGGACGAAAATCTCCACCCTCAACATAATAATATCTATGTAATCGTTTCTTTGCCATTTCAAAGGGTTACGACACGCTCTATAAGGAAACTTTAGAGAAAGTCTGGCAAGAAAGACAAGAGCGGTTCACACAACGATCAAAATGTAAGCTATAGCATAGCTACTTAGCTGCTCTAAGTTGTGAAGTGATGTTCGTTTACATGTCCATATGTTGCGTTTTGTTTTACACGCGGAGCAGGTCCAATCAACATATTTCTGCTACTGCTCCGGTTGTGTTGAAATGTGTTTTAATGTTCAATTAACCATCCAACGAATTCAAACCCAACAATTACAGCAACACAACTTCCGCACACTGTCAGAACACCCTGTTCCCCTCTCAGAAGTCACAGTTCATGAAAGATCTCCCGAAATGGAATGGGAGGACTATTGCATCAATCACAACATATATTTATACTCTTACGCTCTCTCTCCCCACAGCTACACTCAATACAGTTACACAACAATTACATGTATCTCTCTCTCTTTCTTTTCTACTCTTGTCTATTTTTATGATGACGTTGATTTAACCTTTACATGTTAACTGTTACCCATCTATCTGTCTATGTGTGTGTGTGCATCTTGTTGTCTCATATGCTAATAACCCTCATTAGGGCTGGGAAGAACTCGGCAAGGAGGTCAATGAAAAGATCTGGAACGAAAAGAAGGATCAATATACCGGCCGTCAAAAGTGTATGTATTTAAGTGTATCTCTCTCTCACACTGTCTCTCTACTAATCGAATGGATACTCTGGTTCATACGCATTTGTCCTGACCAATTTTGATTTTTGTTGGAAATGCGTTCTAATGTTTTTTGTCCAACACCAAATGCTTTATATATTCTGGATTTTTCTAATTGAGCTTTTCTTTCTCCCAAAATAGCCAAATTGCCCAAGTGGTTCGGCGAAAGACCCGGCAAGAAGGCTGGCGAGCCCGAAACACCCGAAGGCGAGGAAGATGCCAAGGCTGATGATGAAATCGCTGAGGAAGATGAAGAAGTCGAGGAGGAGGTCGTCGAAGAGGAGGAAGAAGAAGAGGAGGAGGAAGAAGAGGAGGAGGAAGAAGAAGAGGAGGAAGAAGAAGAAGAGGAGGAAGAAGAAGAGGAGGAAGAGGAAGAAGAGGAGGAGGAAGAAGAGGAAGAATAAATTAATTTAACTACATTTAATAAAAATAAAAACCACCAAAACAATATAGTTATTATTAGCTTATTCTACCGCTATCTACCGATAACAGCCACAAAAACCAAAGATTTTTTAATACCAACAATTTATAGAAAAAGAAAATAAAAAATGAATGAAACCACAAGAACATTTCTCCAAATAAACATGAAAACATATATCGTATGAAAACAAACAACAACATCTTTTCATAATCACGATTCTATGTAAGGCGTTTTCAATCGCGCACTCTCTCTCTCTCTCTCTCTCACTCACACTCTTTATATATCTTTCTCGTGTTTACATACATGCCCACACGCGCTCTCTCTCTCCCCTGTTTATATCTTAAAAAAGAACTAAATCTGCCTATATTCTTAGTATCAAATTACGCATTACTCACCCAAAACTCATACGCACACATGCCCACCTAGCACACACATACTCTCTCTCTCTCGTTTCGTATTTGAATTATGTAAACTTTTATTTGTAATTTTAAATAAAAAAAAAACAAATTTTTACTACGAACATCATTGAAAACTCGTATATCGTATAAAATCTGGATATTCCATAATCAGAATGGTCCACAAAAACACACGTCGTCCACGAACACGACCACCAACAGCATCGCCAGATACACTCTCACTCTCGTCCGATTTATATTCCCATTTTATTTAAGATTGATTTAGTTTCGTTATTTACAATTAAATGATGAGTTTAATTTTGCTTGAATTACAAAAATATTTGAATAAAACAAAGAGACTTTTGAAACGATGAGCGATTTTCAAAGCATAAATGTGCGATTGTGAGAAGGATGGAGTTTTGTGTTTTCAGGTCGGTAGATGAGTATGAACAGTACTGCAAGTTAAAGCAAGTGCCGGAGAGACATCGAAGGCAAAGAGTTATACTTGAATACTTGAATTTGCAACTGCTAGAGAAATGAAAACACACATCACGACATAAAACGGATAGAAAACGGTATTGTCTTGAAGGTAGGTGCATTGGAAAAATTCTAAATCGAAAATACTTAAAAAGGGTTCTAATTCCTTTTTTCCCCAAATGGGTTTCTTTGCTCTGCCGATATGCCAACTTTGAATATGATTAATATCAGACTTCATTTCGTTATACGTTTTATGTATTTTTGGGCCTTATATCATAACTTATCTCATATTTAAAGCCAAACAAGGCCATTTCCACCAGTTGTGCTGACAATATGTAACTATGAACTATGTAAGGTAACTATGAAGTATGTTAATATTTGTATGTGTATTTGACTTTTTGTCCATCTGTGGGCACGACAACTCTGGAAAAACAATTATGTCGCTGTTTGGTCAGGGCGAAACGACAACATCGACTCCTACAGGATTATTTTTCACATTAACTTGTTACATACAATTCGACGCACTCAGTCGACGTTGTTCTCCATACAGACAAAACACATGTACAGGGTGAGAAAAAAAAACTGCAACAAAGTCAAGCGCCATATTTTTTACATTTTTTTAAATTATTAAATGAAACAAAAATTGTCGGAAATAGTATCAAATTTTAAAATAAGTTTAAATTTGTTCGATTTGGTCACCTTTGGCACGAACTGTGGCCTTCAAACGGCCAATGAAACCGTCACGCGCTGCCGGAATATTGCTCTGCGGTATTTTGGCCCATTCCCGGCGAAGTGTTTGCTTGAGGTAAAAGAGGCTTTGGTATTTTTATTTGCTAACCTTGCTTTCCAAAATACTCCAAACACAATAGTCCAACGGATTGTTATCCGAAGATTTTGGTGGCCATTGTGCGCTGGAAATGAAACGAGGAAACCCATTCTGTAACCATTCTTGGGTGGCGCATGCTGAGTGCGATGATGCTGAGTCCTGTTGGTATGTCCAAGGTCTACGGCCAAAATGTTTGCGTGCCCAAGGCATTAATACACCCTCCAGAATATTTTCGCTATAATATTCGGCATTTAGTCTAATGCCACAGTCGATTAATACGAGCGGAGAGCGACCATCGGCTGTTATGGCGGCCCACACTATCATTATGACCTGCGCTTGAGTTCTGGTGACCAACCGAAGGTGCACATTTTCAGCTGACCTCTTTAGCAAGTAAACACGATCATTTTGTTTGTTTACAAACTGCTGGACAACGAATGTTTTCTCATCGGAGCAAACCAAATTCGGCAGTTTACCACTTTCGGCCAAACGAAGCAACTCTTTAGCTCCTTTGAGTCTATTTTCTTTCTGTTGCGGTGTAAATTCTTGCACTTTTTGGAATTTCAATGGCTTCGATCAAGTCACTTCTTTACTTTCCGAAACATTTCTGCTGATGTTGCTGTTTTCATCGTCCACTTCCTTGACGTCGGGCTACGCTACCAGTATCACGGTAAAGAGCAATGGTAGGAGACACAAAAGATTTATTCACATTTAAATTCTGGAGTGCTCTAACGATAACCACTTGTTGTTTTCCAGCCAAATACAAAGAAAACACACTATCACGCTTGAATTCCATCACAAATAACTTTTTTTTGGAAAATTCTTACCAAAGTGCTTTTGGATGTTTTTAAAGAATGTAATCAAAGACCTAAAATGGTAAAGACTGGACAAAATGCATTTTGGAAGAATAGTTGATGTGAAAAATATATAGGGGCGCTCCTCACAACAGTTAGAAGTTAGCATAAAAATCATATTTTCAGAGCAATTTTACGAATAACATTTCTGTAAACCAAAAAATTGGTCTCAAAATTGCATTCCTTTGACGTTTTCAATTAATTGAAAATTGCATTTGCTGTTAAAACAACCTAACATTGGTAACTATGTTGTTACGATATCGTAACAACAGAGCTATTTACACCTGGTGACAATATTTTGACTCTGCCTTGTCCCATCTTTATACTTCTATGTCTTTGATGTAATGTGCTGCCACTAGAATAATTTTAATATAGCATTTTCAGATTAAATGAAACCTTTTGCAATTCAAATTAAACTTTTTGCAGCGGGAATGAAACCTTTTGCAGTGGAATTGAAACCTTTTGCAGTGGAAATGAAACCTTTTGCAGCGGGAATGAAACCTTTTGCAACCGAAATGAAACTTTTTGCAAATCAAATGAAACTTTTAGATTTTTAGAAGGAAAAATAACAAAACATTTTTATTTTTAGTAGGTTTAAAATGAAATCAACTAATTATAAGTAATATATAGTTAAAGAGGAATTTTTATTGATTATTAATAACTATGTTTTTATAAAATTTTTTCTTAAAGCTTCCATAAAACACAAGTGTAGATGCAGAAAGATTGAAAAAAGTTTTTCAAGGTATTATTTTGAAAGGACCCGAATTAGGTACCTTTTTATAATCTCCTCCATGGAAAGGAGGATATATTAAATTTGTCATTCGGTTTGTAACACCTCTAAATATTCGTCGTAGACCCCATAAAGTATATACAATCATGATCATAGTTGATTTAATGATTTCCACTTATCCGTCTATTGAAATCACGACTGCTCTATTTCCATAATCAATAATGCTGCGAAGCGGGAATCCTTTATTAGGTAAGATTAATAGTATACTATAACTATAAAAAATTGTGGTAAAGCTTAATTTCACATTTCAGTCCTGGCTATACCTATAAAGGCCAAAATTTGTTTAAATTTCTCTTTTTAGTGTTAAGTATTTGGAATTTAATAATATGGAAACATTTTATATCAAATCAATAAAGAACCATTTGTTATTACAATAATTGAAAATTTAAGAAATAATATAAATAAAGAAATAATATAAATAAAGAAATAATATAAATAATCAATAAAAAATCCTCTTTGTCAATATATTAGTTATAATTAATTTATTTAATTTAAAAACTACTAAAAATAAAAATGTTTTGTTATTTTTCCTTCTAAAAATCTAAAAGTTTCATTTCGGTTGCAAATGGTTTCATTCCGGTTGCAAAAGGTTTCATTTCCGCTTCAAAAGGTTTCATTTCCACTGCAAAAGGTTTAATTTCCACTGCAAAAGGTTTCAATTCCACTGCAAAAGGTTTCATTTTCGCTCTAAAAAGTTTCATTTGAATTGCAAAAGGTTTCATTTAATCTGAAAATGCTATATAGGTCGGACGAGTGGCTTAGAAATGACTGCAGTCTGAAGTTGATTAGCTTTCATATAAATGCAGGGTGAGATTAACCTTGCAACTATATGAAAGCTATCCAAATACTTCGAACGTACGAAATTTAAATGTTGAACAATTTCAACATTGTCAATTAAAAAAAAATTGGATTTTGTTCTTTTCTTTTTCGAATTTTAAAAATTATCAGTTTTTACAACGTTAATAGTTGCTTGATTGTAAGATATGGACCTGGCGACGTTCAAAACATTTTACTATATTTGAGAAAATTGTTTACGTTTCAGAAGTTTTCCATTTTTTGCTATTTTAATTTTGTAAAACCCTTGGACACAATGTATTTTCTGGATAAGTTATATTTTCTCCATATTTATTACTTTTGATTGGATGGTCTGCTTTAAGATTTAGGCTTAAGGACATCCTTTTAGATTTTTCAGCAAATTAAATTGAATTAAAGACATCAAATGCAATATCCATGAAGCCATTTATTTTGGCAATGGTTCTGCTCGCATCCCTTGTCATTCCATGGCTTTTGTTCCTGCTGCTTGGTTGGCAATGCTGTTACTGTCTTTGAAGTTACCTCCTTGTGTTGGGCTATTGTATGTTTCGTACTATCTTAAATTAAAATCTTGGTAACTTGCTTACGTACATAATTTAACACTTTCAAACACACATGCACACGCAAACACACACACACACCAATTTACACACCTAAATGCGTGGATATGTGTATGAAAGTTAGGAATATTGTCCATGCACAGTCTAACAAATGGTAAACGGAAATAACCTGGTTTATTTCATTTATGGTTGTATGGGTGCTCAAATGTCTGAAACTATGCACATGTGTATGTGTTTTGCGAGTAAGATTGACATCTAGGATGGTGAAATGTGCGTTTTACTAAATTCTGCAGTTGTGTGTATGTGTGTCTGTGTTCCTATGTGTATGCGTGTGTTATCTTTGGAGAGGAAGAAACAAAAAGAGGAGAGGATGATGACGACAGCATCACCCGGCACGCAGCTCGGCACGTAGAACAATTTTCTTGACATGTCCTCACCACTTAAGCCAAAAGTCTACTCTATGTGGTGCATGTAAACAACTAAACTTAACAACAAATAAATTATTTTAGTTGAGGTCTGGCTACAGTGCCTGGCGTAAATGTGCAACAGTAGGGAATGCGTCTGTGTGTGTGTGTGTGTGCACATTAAACGAGGCCATGATTCGTAAAGTAAAATGCAAGCTATTCCTGTCGAAGAAGTAGACAATTTTTAAAGGAACCTGTTTTATTATTCCATAGACCACTATACGTTTGTTTTGGCTCAGCAGTTCGTTACACCTCAATATGAGCCCACATTTTCGTATATGTCCACCAGCCTTTTTTGCATGGAGGACGTGGTATAAGGGAAAAACACATTTTTGGTGGTGATCGCATGTGGTTGTCATTACTAGTGATGCTGAAAGTAACACATGCGTACCCTCTGCATTACTTATATATGAAAGTAATGACAACTACATACCCTCCACATTACCAGTATGCTAAATAAATTATGAATTATACCAAAAAATGTAGAAGGCAATATGAACTGTATTTATCATCTCAAATAATAAGTAGCGGCGTTACTGATCAAAATCTGACGAATTAATGTCAGTGACTGAGTGCATTTTGTACCCAAC